GCCACTGAGATTATAGGTGTGTGCCACTGCACCTGGCTCCACTCTAGCCTTTAACACATGGACATTTGGGGGACACTTATGATCCAGACTATAGCATTCATCTAAACATATTTTTGGAAGAGGTTTAAGAACAGGTTCAATGGTAAGTTCTGTAAGGGCATCTGTTGTATTGATTCTTCCTTATACTTATTACACTGCCTGGTAGAGTGTGTTTAATTAATTCAATTGGGAAAAATGCTTGAGCTCTTTGACATGAAACCAAGAAATCCATTTCAAATTGGCCCAGATTTGTTATTACCACCATTTGAGTAGTGCATAAATTCATTGAACTGTACTTTTGATCACTCAATGTTATCATATTGATCATAAGGATATGTTGCTGCCCAAAGGTACTGTATTTACAATAATTCTATAATCCACCAGTCTTGAAAGTCTTGTCAGAAGTGGAAATGAGGTATTCAGAATGCCTGATTCATAGACAATCTGGTTCATACCCAAACCTACAGAATGTCTAGTTGATTGCCTTCTAATTACTTATAATCTAGTCCTTTAAAGATTTACTTGAATTTATGCTAGGGATTATATATGAGATCATATCTTCCATTCAGTTATAAAAATTAAGTATTTGTCTGTCTTCTGCTTGCTTTATTTATTTATTTATTTATTTATTTATTTCGGTTCTACAAATTGAACCCAAGGTCATATGCAAGTTAGGCAAGCACTCTATCACTGAGATACATCCCCAGCCCTGTCTTCTGCATTTCTTCAAAGATCATTGTTCTTTCGGTAGTTTTTTTCCATATCATTTATTGAAATTGGAAGTAGAACCTCATCATAGGGAACTGTCTTGATCTTGATTTGATTTGCTCTGATGGCTTTTTCTAACTTCTTAGTGTGAGTATCATTTACCTTCACCGAGAAGAAAGAAATGAGACAAAAWTTTTTTTGGCATTCATAAATTACAATTGGTTTCTGATCAAAAAATAAGTATAAAACATTTTTTTGTTTAACATTTTTTTTTGCAAATAGTATGAGGTTACAGTCTTCATGTGTGTATGTTGGTGCCATTCTTTTATTCTTCCCTGTTTATTGACCTTTTTCTCTCATAACTTGTATATACTTGAGTTGTTATTGGGCCTGTGAAAAATCAGGCTGTGCACTGACATTCTTTTTCTGGAACTTTTCTCCTTTTCTTTCTCATGATGAAATCAGTACCCGAATTTCATTTTAACCTCTTGAGCTGCATTCACTCTGAAGAGTCTTCTGCCATTGAGTCATATTTCCTTTAGTAGCTTCATCTCAGACCTTCTAAACCTGTTCTATATTCAGCTTTTCTTTCCCTGATGATCATCCAGGTGCTTTTTTCTCATAGGGCACCATTATTTTTTTTATTTAATCAAAATGCACTCCTTGTTTGTAAGATTTAAGTTCAGAGCTGAAATTCCTGTAATCATTACAAGTACTTCCTGTCAGTGTATTAAGCCAAAAYCAATCAAGAATGTTTTTAGATGAATGAGACCCTAAACAAATGTTTGAATATTTGAAGTCCCATCATTATTCTTTCTTATTCCATCCCACCAATTTCTTCCTACTGCTTCTGTGAAAGCATATTTTTTCATCCTGTCTCATATTCTCAACTTTATTTTCTCTATAATCCATATTCCATTTTGGTATGTAAAATACCTGAGATTCTGAGCCTATGAAGATTGTTCATGGCTATGTTTCAATTATTATTTCARATAAAATGACTTGGCACCACACTCACACTGTCATTCTTGGTTTTTTGATTTAGACAGGGAGCTTCTGCTTGTGATAAGCATTAATCTACTTAAGCCAGTGGAAGCTAAATCTGAGACGTTTAATTAAAAAATATAGGGGTATTTTATTGTAAAGTTTTTGATCAGAGAGAATTGCTGGCTCCATAAGGAACTCAACTGAATCTGGCCAGTTGGGAATTGGTAGCACTCTCCCTGTGAACTTGTGCTTCTTGCAGTGTATCTTCACCATTCTCTAGCCTCTGCAATCCAGTATGTTCTATTTTCTTTTTTTAATATTAATTTTTTTTTGTTTTAGATGGACACAATATMTTTATTTTATTTTTTATGTGGTGCTGAGAATCAAACCTAGTGCCTCAGGCATGCTAGGTGAGTGCTCTACCACTGAGCCACAACCCCAGTCCCAGTATGTTTTATTTKTACATGCACATGGCAGAAAATTAGGATCTTAGCTCCGATGCACATGACCTTCCAGATCCAGTGCCCAAACCCCAAAATTCAGTCTTGGTACACTTTGTTTAAGCTCTCTCCCAAATCCAGTTGCCTTAGCTTGGCCTATGGTTTATTTTCTTTTGTGTCCCAAGCCCACTCTTTGTCCAGTCATTTGGAGCTGGAGAGGAAAGTGTCACTTGATATCAGCAGAAAGTGGGGAATGCCTTTTCTAGAAGGATGTGATGGTAGAGAAGAAATTATTTGGTATTTTCATGTTAGAACTGCCTTCCTCCATTGCCACAGGTCTATTTCTGTTTTTAATTTCTTTTCTTCACACTCATGTTAAGTAGCTTCTACTCAAACACAATCTTACAGTACTTTTAAAATAAGATACGCTCCCAACTTCAATCTGGGTCTTTTCTTCTAGCTTTTAAAACCATAGTTTAGAACTTAAATTTCATTCACTAATATAGGCCACACCTTCCTCTTTCTCCCAGAAGCAATCAATAAAAACATCCACTATATTATGAAGTGTTTTAGCTTCCTTTCAACGATATCATTCCCTAAAGATATTACCCAGTCTTCTTACAGGAATCAGTATGGTTGAGTGACAGTCCTGGGAATATGCTTGAGAAAGAGCACTGCTAATTCTCTTTGGTTTATTATGGCTGTTTTTAAGCCCCATCTCAGGGAATTACCAACACCAAGATAAATTTCTTCCTCCCAGAGTCAGTGTATGGTATCGTTGAATTAACAGGGCTATTCAATTTCTTTCCAGCATTTTTTTCTTCCCTCAAAGGAAGGTCTAGCCATCCCCTTTTTTCCTTCAGAAGGAACCAGGTCTTTCATGTATGTACCTAGTAGGCCAGCATATTTCTTTTTTTCTTCTTCYTGTCACATTCCTACGCTCTTTCTTCTATGGAATATGATTTTGATTGTTTTGCCTTTAGATTCTTTTAATGAACTTGGGGTAGAGTCACAATTCTAGAAAATCATATTTATTTTTGGGGGGAGGAGGCTCCATCCTATTGTATATTTTTAGTACAACAGAATTTCTTCACTTTTGCTGTATTTTTACTCTTCATTTGTCTTTCTATTGGATCAAGTTTTGATCCTCTTCATCTTTAATGTTCTCGTCTTGTTCTGTTTGATTTTCCCCTAATAATCCTATTTCATTGGGATTATTTACATTCATATGCAGAGAGGTCAAAATATTTTTTTCAGCCCTCTTCATATTTAAACGTGTAAGTTCTCCAGATGGAATGCACCATACATACCATACCCATAGCTTATATTTGCAACAGATAGGAAGAAAAACAACGTTTTCTCTACTTATCATCAAACCATTTAGTCCCATGAATTTTGGTACTGAGCTCTCAGGACAGATATTTTCCTTTATTGCCTTATTGCCTTTTATTGTCTCTTAGAATAGAAATTAAAGGCATAGCCTCAGAGGTCAAATATACCACTATGATCCTAGACAAGTAACTGAAATTCTTTAAGCTTCAGTTTCCTTGTCAGTACAATGGGAACAACAACATTTTCTAATGCACAGAATTGTTATGAAGATCAAATAAGTTGAGTGCTCACTGTATGGTAAATGCTCAGTAAGTGCTAGTAATTGTTGTTGTGATTGCTTTCATTATATGGTAAGGATCTTGAACTTGAGACCTATAACTCACACTTTATTAAGCAACTAATTCTTATAAAATCATTATTATTTATTTATATAATAATTCTGTTTAGTGATAAGAGTCCAGAAAAAACTTAAGATTGTTAGTTTTGATTCTTGTTTCTTTGTTATATTTCTATAAGCTGATAGGTTGTATTTATACTGATTTTTCTCTTATATTCACTTAATTTTTTTTAACAAATATTACTMATTTCTAAAACTTCTTTTTTTGTCCTATTTTTCTGGGTGGGTGAGATTCAATTTCAAATACCACCATATTTTCAAGTGCTAGCTATGTGCCAGGTTTGGTCTTAGGTGCTTAAATATACCTAGATATTATCTCCTTTGCACAGATTAAAAATTCAGGGTTCACAGAATTCAAGTGAGTAGACCAACATCATACATTAGTAAGTAGCACTTGCAAGAATAGCAGGTAAGAAGAATCAACCATAAACCAGTGAGAAAGAACTTTAGGAAGAATATAACCAAATAGTGTGAAAGTACAGGGAGAGAGCAGTTTTTCTGGAAAAAAAAAAAGATAGATATGTTGAGAGCCATAGCCAAAGGGGCCCCAGCAAGCTTTTGGACTGCCAGCTGATGATTGGCTCACAGCAGCACCAACAACTTCTAGCTGATTGGCTCCTCTGTGGTGATGCTCATTGGGCTGTTTCCCCGGCCCTTTCAGATTACGGAGCTGCTCATTGGGGGACTTTTTTTGGCTCTGCCCACACGACCAGCCAATTGGCCTCAAGAGCAGGAAGAGTGGGGGAGGTTGAGAGGCTTGTGGGAAGAGGTTGGTGGCAGTTGGGTTCTGAGGGTTTTTCCTGAGGAGCGGTTTTGTTTGGCGTGTGTGGTTCTAAAAATAAAGTTCGTTTCTTTTGACAAGTGGCTCCTGAATTGTGCCCAGCCAGACTGYGGCATAGGTAAGAAGATGAGAAAGTCTTTGTGAAAAATATGAAATTTAATCTAAAAGGTGACCAGTCAATTCATAAGAAACTAGAATTCACTAGTACTTTTTCTTTCATTCACTCTGCTCCCATTTTAATTATGCATATGATTTTGTTTATGACACCAAAGATGCACAGTATATAAATAACCATTAACTAGAACATAAAATCGTAAACATTGGAAAAGCATGTTTTATTTGATGATATGTTGAACATACTTAAAGGCCTCAAATATTTAAATAATGGCTCTCATGCAAGATTCATTATAGATGTTTTCAATGATAGCACAGGTATTCTTTCACTGAGTTAGTCACAGTCCTCATAATACAAAACTAATCTTTGAAATGCTTGGTAAATATGTCGATTCTGGGTACAAATGAATCCTCCACTTCTGAAGGCTTGGTATGGGCTCCTATTTAGGTCTCCAATACATGTCCAGCGGTTTTTGGTGCCTTTTTGGGAAATACACCATTTGGCATGGTCCTGGTAAGAACTGAAATAAGATTGTCGAGATATCTTAATGGCTTTGATATTGTAGACATGGTAAGGAAGGGAGCAGTTTGAAGGAAGCTCTTGTCTCTTTCTCTGCCAGGTTTCTGTTAGCAAGTGTGTCTTCAACCGTTGAGCCATCCAGGCTGCAAAGATGTCTGGGGTTCGGAAGGAAAGAGAGAGATTGACATTTACACTTAGAAAAATTTCTGAAAATATCCTCAGGAAGGGATATCATCACTCACCTCTGATAGGTGGATGTCATAARTACAACAGTAATAATATAATTGAGACAGTGGATGGGAAAATTTTTCTAAATCCTGAAGTGGCATGCAACTATATGCTGTCATCATTACTATAATGAGGTTGATATCTGCCAATGYCTTGTTTCACATAAACAAGGGAGCAATATGTGTTCTTGCCCTGAAAGATCTTTGGAAAGAWTAAGGCTAGAGAAGTAATCAGAGGCCAGTTCTAGGGATCCTTATAAGCCATGAAAATATATTTGAATTTTCCTGAACTAAAAGCGAAATTTTTAAAGAATGTTAATGGAGAATTAATAAAAACTGATTTATGACGAAAGATATCAATTGAGAGGCTGTGTGCAGKATGACTTGGGAAGAGTGGGTTAGAAAGGAGATAGGAAAAATGTAAGATTGTCATAATAACTACAACAGTAAACACAGGCATGGACTATGGTGGTGGCAGAGGATCAGGTAATTGTGAAAGTTATTAAGGACCTGGAACTGATGGTGGGTTTGATAGAGTAGTTAAGAAAAAGAAGGCATCAAGGAAGCCTAGGTGACTGTGCAGAATGCCAGAGAATGAGTGAGTCTGTGGGGGAATGAATGATGAGCTTGGCATCTTTATTTGGTGTGGTTGTACCACCTCCAGGTAGAACTGTCCCGCTGACTATTGAATATCTCACTCGGTACAGAGGTCTGGGTGGAAATCTAGACTGGGAGTCACGTGAGGACTTGCCGGAAAGGCCTAACATAGAATGTAGACTGAGATAAGGAATGACAGAGGACCACYTGGCCATTTCATCACCTACGGAGTAGTCAGAGGAGGACGATGTGKCAGAAGACACCTAAAAGAAGTGGAAGGAAGACCAAGAGATGTACCCTCACTCCCAATACCAGTGAAGTGTTTCAGGAAGTGTTTCACAAAGTGCCAAATTTGCAGAGACTATTTCTATCCTGTTAATTTTTGCATCTCTAGTGCCTGACATAGGGCTTGGCAAATAGGCGTTCTATACATCGTATGCAATCTATAAAAGAAGGAAGGAAGCAAATAATCAAGGAAGTCAGTGAGGGAATACACCATTTGGCATGGGCCTGATAAGAACTAAAGTAAGAAGTCAGATCACCTAGGGCAGCCACTGTGGCAGGTGGGGTGGGGTGGGGGGGGGTGATTGGTATCTATAGGCAGAAGAAAGACTACAGTGAGAGAGAGCTTTGAGTAAGTAAAGGCTCTGACCAGAATTTTCAAAGATATGTAGGAGAAAAAGAAAAAAAGAGAGCTGTGGGAAATTTTGAATTGAGAGAGGGTTTCCATCATGTTTGTATGTAAAGAACCTGAGTAGAAGCCTCGAAGTAGTAGAGGCAAAACAGATCAAGGGGACAAATCAAGGTATGTTGAGGCTACAATGTGTTCCAGAGGATAGGGGGTATAAATGCTTCTGTTGGGATGGCAGAAAATGTGCTAAAAAGAAATGAAGACTGGTAAAAATGTTGGGAGGCTAGGGTGTGATACTGAAGTATTTTTTTCCTAGTGAACTTTGTTGTCTTTATGGGTAAAGGGGCTCAGTAGTGTAAAAAACTTGACAATAAGGAAGACTCAAAATAACCGCTTAGGGGATGGAAGAAGGAGAGATGTGTTCAGAGGGAGACTGAATTTTCACTGGCCCCTGGCTGTATGGTTGTGAGATAGCTCTGGGGTCTGTACCAGCAATTCTGCTATTGACGTGATACAGGAATATGTTTAAATTGACCCTTAACTTCCTTTTCCCTTTCCTTCTTCTTTTTTTTTCTTTCTCCTTCTTTTCTCCCTGCATAATCAAGTTGTTTTCTCTAGGTAATCCATAGTGAGTCCAACAGCAGAGTTACACAGCATATCATTTGATGATGGTCTTTCATACCATCAAGAAAAGAATCCGATTTTGCAAAATGGAGGAAGTTTTGTCCTCGGGATGACTGAAGTGTGGCGAGGTGCCGGCCAGGAATCTTTGATGAGCTCGACCTGGCACACAGCTGGGGCATGTGGACAAGGTCCCTGTGAAAGGTGGCCGGGATGGAACAGCTATAGACATTTGGGTTGCAGATCAAGAGCTGAGAATCTGAATCAAGAAACAGCAAAGAGAAGTTGAGAACTTAGACACAAAGGCATATGGAGATTATAGATCTTGTTGTAGACAAATAAACAAACAAAAAACCCCATACACAGGCATTCCCCCTTTTGAAGCAATGGCCTTCAAATGGCTTTTGTTTACAGTAACTGGCACCTATTGAGCACTTCATACTTTCCAGACATTGTGCCATGACTTTTATATCATTTTACTCTTCTCATCCTCAGAGCAAACTTACTAGTAGGTAAATTCTGTTGTTATCATTATCCTCATCTTATATATGAATTAACTGAGCCTTTATGTCAAATGTACATGGTTATAGAAGTTAATATTCAAACTCAGATAATCTGGCCTTGAAGGCCATATGCTTTTTCTCCTATATATACATATACAAAAAGTAGAGAACACCTTGTTTCCAGAATAATTAATTCATCAGTGCGTACATCCTGTATCTACAATGTTTAGTTCTCTAATCACCACATGATGCTAGCTAGATTAGGATGTGACTTAGGTGAAAGGCTCAGTGATCCTTATAATAAGATAGAAATTTGATGGGAAACATTTTCTAAACCTGTATCTGAAGGCAAAGATGATGTTGATGTTCACTGCTGTTTAGCCGCTTTCTCAGTAAAAAGTGATTGGTAAAAGCAGTGTTCCTACTTTTTCTCCTCCCACACCATAGTTTGCCAAACGTAAGTATTTTTGGCTATTTGAGCTTGAGATCTTAAAAGAAGTTTATCTGGCTCAGATGTGTCATGTTGGCAGGGTACAGGAAACATTTGGTCTGCAAAGTTTTCTTTCTTTTTTTAAAAAATAAGATTGAACCCATATTTGAAAATCAGGATCTCTCTTTCTCTTTCACACACATATACCACATACCCTAGGTTTCTGGTTCCTCAGGAGAAATTTATAATCTGTGGGCCTGTATTTCCTGAAGAGCCACAATATGATGGCTCTGAGGCCTTTGAAGCTTCCAGGGGAAAGTCAATACCCCAACTTGTCATAGTCCCCAGTGCCATGCAATTCATTTAAATGAATCCCTAAATTCATTTAAAACTACTGCCCCTGATGTCATTGGTAGACCAGGAACTGAGGACTAGTAAGCTTTAGTATGGCAGAGGCAGTATTAGAACACAGGTATCAGAGGGTCTATGAATAGATTAATAAATGAAGTGACATGTTTATTAATACATTTCTCAGTTCCTTCTCCAACAGTGCTATCTCCTTTCACACGTTCTGGTATTACCTATTGCTTCATACTGGTTGTACTTAAAAGTTACACAGATGCCAGTTTGTCCATTTCGTCTCCCAGTGGATGGATAATCATAGCCTTCTTGAGGAATTGGAGGAAACCGGGGAATAGAATGAATCAGCCAGAACCCCTGGATTCTGTTCCACAGCAATAAACCTACCCAAGATACATTTAATAAAGATAAATTAGAAAAAAAAACCACTTCCTTTTAAAGTAGGGTTCAAAGCTGCAACATTTATTCCTGTTTATGTTTTAGTCTAATGTTTTATTAGGCTAATAACACATTTTTTTTAAGGATGTCAGAAGCAAGTTACACACATATCACAATGCGTCATTACTGATGATAAGCCACCAATAAAGGGAGGCAAGGGCAGCCATTCTGTGAAGAGTTAAGAGGAATTTCATGTTGAACTACACGGAAAATTTGTTTTGGCAGAATGCAAATTTGCTAAATTGGAGTTTGACCTTGTTAAACTATATAATCACCTGACAAGCTTCAGATAGTCTTTACTGCTAAGCAGCTAACATTTTTTTTTTTTCCAAAAGCCTGCTAACAAACAGAGGTAAAGGAGACAATATTAAATGAAGAAATGTACTTGTAGTACTTTGTTTTAAGAAACTAATGCTCATTTATTGGAGAAGAGTCACCCAGTTCGACAGACACAATAAAAGGGAAAAGTAAAAAAAGCAAGCCATACTAAAGTATCCTTATTAATTATGTTTAGTAAAAGTCTCTAGAGCTTAATAATATGAATTTATTCATGTTTTCCTTACTAGAGTGGAAACCAAATGCCTGCTAATTATTTCTTTTTCAAAGAGTATACCTTTAAAAAGCTTGCTTTTGGCTAGGTACAGTAGTACATGCCTGTAATCCCAGATACTTGGGAGGCTGAAACAGGAGGATTGAGAGTTTGAGGCCAGTCTCAGAAACTTAGTGAGGAGATCCTGTCTCAAAAAATAAAAAAGGGGATGTGGCTCAGTGGTAAAGCACCCTGGGTTAAGAAAACAAAGCATACCATTGCTCTTTGGGAGGAAAAAAAATCAATACTTACGTTTTGGTGAAACATGTTGACAGTTCTGTTGCCTAACAGAGCTGGATGGCCTTCAAGTACTCCCCTCTGCCCAGATAAATGTGCTGTTTTGCTGGAATCTCAACCTCCTAGTATGAATGCCACAAATGTTAGGGTATCTGATGGCAAAGAGAATCCCTTGCCTCAAAACTTAACATCAAACCTCATTTTCTTTTTCTCCAAACTCTTGCAGCAACTAATAAGGTGGAGTAGAAATGACAAAAGTTGCTGGAGGAGAGGTTGGAGAATGTGGTGTGTTATAAAAATTGTGGGTTCCATGTAAATAGGGCCTTCAGGAGGGCAACTTGACAAAATTAAGAGCTTTCAATGATCATGAACTTTGAAAACCACTACAAATTATATCCTTAACCAGACATTGCAAATTAGCAGTCCATGGACCAGATACAGACTGAGGATATATTTTATTAGGCTTGCAATGTATCTTTTAAACATTCAAGTCATTGCCAACACTTAAAACCTTTAGGAAACTTCCAAAAAATACTAATTTTCAACATTTCCTAAAAAAACTGCAAGGTGAGAAATAATTACACCCTTTAGTTTGTGTATATACCTCTTGGTTCAGCCCACTACACTTATCTACCTGCTCCCTGAGGGTATTTGAGTTTGTAACCTTCTGAAGAATATTGTCATAGCTAGTTATTCATGACATATTTTTAAAGTAGTCATTATGATAGCTTTATGAAATGGTTTAAAATAAGTATTCTAGAAAGGATTAAGTCTGTTTATCTAATGGGTATTAGGATTACAGATTTTTTTGTTTACTTGCACATTGAATTTTTTTTATAAAAATGTATATGTATAGTTCATCAATAGAAGAATAACAAAAGTCACTAAAACAAAAATCACTATATATAATAACCAAATTATGAGACCAACCTAGGTGTCCATCAATAGATAAGTGTGGTATATATACACAATGGAGCTTTCCATAGCTATAAAGAAGATCAAAATCATGTTATTGGTAGGAAAATAGATGGAACTGGAGAACATCATAGTAAGTAAAATAAGCTAGACTCAGAAAGTCAAGGGCCTATGTGTTCTCTCATATGTGGGAGCCAGAGGAAAAAAGGGGAAAAGAAAAGGGGATCTCATAAACACAGAAGGGAGACCAGTGGGATAGAGGAGGGGGATGCGGTGAGGGAGGGAGAGACAAGGGGGGTACTAAGGGTTAAATTGACCAGGTTATGTTACATATGTATATGAATATATCACAATGAATCCCATTATTATGCATAATTATTATGCAGCAATATGAAATTTTAAAAGGATTGTTTTGAAAAACCCAACTATTAATTAAAATTGTAACAATACAATTATGTCCATTGACTGCATCATAAAGACATATGTTTTTGTTCGTTTGTTTCTTTGACACTGGGGATTTAACCCAGGGCCACTTTACCATTGAGCTACATCCTTAGTCCCCTTTTTATTTCGTATTTTGAGGCAGGGTTTCACTAAGTTGCTGAGGATGGCCTGGAACTTGTGATTCTCTTACATCAGCCTTCTGAGTCAACTATAACACAAATTTTAAGCAATAACAGAGTAGATTTGAAGTTTCATTTGTTCATTTGTTTGTAACAAAAGATGACAAAATACCTTTCAAATTACTATGTATAGTAGCAATATGTAATAAAATATGTTACAAATTACTGTGATGTAAAAACTAAAAATATTTTTTTCAAAAATGTTTATTTCTAATGGGACTATACATTATAAAGAGTGAATTTTACTTGATATGTATTATACTTAATATACCTAACTACAAAGTGTGTGTGTGTGTACACATATTACCCACACACACATAATATAGACTTCTTGGGGTATGTATGTATAAATATAGAGATATAGATGTGTATATAAATACATGTATAGTTATACACTAACTGGTATTCCCAGTGGTCAGCACTTGGATTTTTGCTCTAAAACACACACACACACACACACACACACACATATCTATCTATCTATCTATCTATCTATCTATCTATCTATCTATCTATCTATATATCTATATATATCTTAACATATATATATGTTTCTTAACTATATATATATATATATATATATATATATATATAATTATATTCCCAAAAAGGATACTGCCAAGTCAGATTATATAATTATATTATAACCTGTTATATGGAAATCATATATTTCAATTAATCAAAATAAACCATTAAAAACAAAGGTTATTTATTTAATATGGAATGTGAGTGCATTCACGATGAAAGGTTTAAGAAAATGTCAATTTCTAATAGGAAAGAGAATCAAGAGCTGTTTCACAATACCTTTGGTGTGTCCATATTTTCTGTCATAATTCACAGATGTAGGGACTCCATCATTGTATATTAGATAGGCTGTGCTGTTACCCTGCAGGAATATATTAGGGTTATAATGGCATAAATGCTCACAATATTTCTACCAGCTAGTCATCCTACAATACAAAGCTTTTGTTAATACACATGAGAAGTCATCCATTCTCTTATTAGGCAGCTCTCGCATCAATATGAATTCTGTGGCATGTGAGACTGTGGGGGTGGAGTCCATTCTGAACTATGCATGGTTTTGACTCACATGACAGGGGTGCTGTGCATTATGATCTGCATGTGAGGGTATATTCCTATTTCTCTTGGTTGTTTTGGAATCAGATTCTTATTAAGGAAGCAGTGTATGATAAAGGAGTGCTGAATTATTTGTTCAGGAAATGAAGTAGGAACAACCAGCCAAGGATTACACCTGTGTTTTGTTTTTTTTTTCCCCCATTGGTATTATAGGCACAGTGCAGAACAGGCTGTCAGGATATGATTTCCTCTGTCTCCTTTGTGCTTCGCTGCCTGGTCATAGCTTTGTATTTAATCAGGATTCCTCATTATCTGCTCCCCTTCTTCTCTGATACAGGAGGCTTTTTTTCTTCAATCCGTTTCTCAGTGTCACTTCACCTTTCTAACTTGATATTTCCCTGCTTCAAGAGAGTGGTGAAATTTAATGTGTGATATTGGATTTCCTCTGGTATGGCAAAATATGAGACAATTCTTAAGTTAGCCAAATCTCTGAATCAAAATAAAGCTACTATTTTGATAGTGTCTCTTCATCACCTTTAAGCTTACTTATTATTGTTCTGTGTGGTTCCATTCCATTTGTGTCGGTGAATTTTATTGAAGCCAATAATGTTGATATTGAAAAAAAATCTCAGTGACATAATAATAAAAGCAGGAGAAGCCAATTCATCTCCTTTAAAATGCCCTTTCTTTTCTTTCATAAGAAAGGAGTCAATACCGAGTCTCTTGTAGTTATTTAATTATTTTAAGGAATCTAAAAACATTTTTTAAAATGTGCAACATGGGTAGCATTCTTGGCTACTGTACTTAGGCAAATCCAGAAAGTGAGATATTTTCTTACCATCATTTTCCATAATCAACCATAGCTACAGAATGTCATTTGTACCATTCTGTTCTCTGGAGATCTCTGGCAGTTGTTTTATGAGCTGACAGTGAATGTAGTAATGAGGCCATTTGTGTGCCTTTTGGGGTGCAATGTGAGGGACTCTGGGAGGATATGGTGTGAAACTATATTTTTATAGTAGATAAAATTTCTCATTCTAACCAGGAGTGTAACAGCCAGACTAGGTTAAATAAGTTGTAGCTGTGGTGGGAAGAAAGGCTATTGATAACAGGAAAGATCATAGACTTAAGAATAGGTAAACACGGTGTATTTCTTTGGACAGTTTTATTATTTTTTAATATYTTCTTAGTTGTCAATGGACTTTATTTATTTATTTATATGTGGTGCTGAGAATCAAACCCACTGCCTCACGCATGCTAGGCAAATTCTCTACCACTGAGCACCAGCTCCAGTTTTATTCTTTTAATACATACAGARTATGGTTTTGATTACTGAATGTTGAACATCTCTGACCCTAGACTAGCAGGGAATCACTTTAGAAAAGCACAGGCAACYGCAATATAGTTTGATCAGTGTTATTGTGGCATCTGGAGGGTTCTTATTTGCAAAAGCAAAAGAATGGAAAAAATTCCAAATGTAATCCCATTATTGGCTTTGATTACCCTTGACATTTGAGATTTAAAATTATTTGTTTCGATCTTGCATTCCACTCTCGGTTAGAGTTCAGTTCCAGGTCAAGGGACAGGAAAGTTATGTTCTCATAGTCCCTTCTGACACATAGTTCCAGCTTCCAAAGGATACTCAATCTTACCTAGCTATCATCCACTGCTATTGCTCTGTGCCAATCAGACATGGAAACCCGCCCCTTTCCTGTCATTTTCTTCTCAAAACCAATCATTCAAGGCATTGTGCTTGAACAGGTTTTACTGAAGGTAGGAAACATTGAATGGTTTTTTTATGCCACAGTGTCCTATGCAATCTCCCTCTATGTGTCTCACACTTTTTAAATCCTTGCGTCCTTCCACTATTTTTTTTTTTTTTTTTTTTTGCAAAGCAGTTTAGTTCTTTTTCCCCTCCTAGGCTCTAGGCCTGCCTTTGTACCTCCTAAGATCATTATTGGATTCTGCCAAACTAAGTGCCAACTACTCCAACAAAGATGAATGACAGGCTTGACAATGTTACTTTTCCTCTTTCCTGCCCCAGCAATTTTGTGATGGGGAAAGGAACAATGTAGGCATTTGTTTTGTCTCTGATGGCTTAAGCTCCTGGTCCCTGTCCTCAACCTTGGAAAGCAAAAGCAGCTGCAGGCTGTTTACATTTTGCGTAACCATCTATTTATTCAAAACAGAGTTGTTGTTGAGGTTAAATAATTTTTTAAAACACCTAGAACTGTGGTTGGCACATCACATGTACTCAAACAGCCTACGAAGTGGTATTAACTTTGAGATTTCTCTCTGAAGACTGCTTTTAATGGCAGGTGAATAAAATGAGTATTACTTCAAACAGTGACAGCTCCCTGCTTATTCTGAGTAAATATTCAGACCCACACAGGCAGTAGTGCTAGAGGCGAAAGCAGTCTTGTAGTGAGCATTAAATTACTTGCCATATGTAAAAGCCCAGCACAGAGTCTGGCATATTATAGTTATTGTTAGGAAATGCATACGTGAGTGTAATTGGATGTTAATTATTGCTTGATTTTACTTGTCACCCTTGTTGGAAAGCAATTGCTGTGCAACAGATGGAGCCTGGAATACTGGGAGGCTGCCCACACTGAACCAGCAGGCCTGCTTACCTATGTCTTTGACTGGCTAGCTCATTGCCTGAAGAAGTCCAAACAGTAGATTTAGTCTCCATTTAGGCAAGTTCTAGGACCTTGAAACTTAAATCTTAGCTGTCAGCCTGCCATCTTGAAAATAATTAATTGGAAGAACCAGTGGAAGCCTTTACTTGGATTGTTGCTGCTTATCAGCACCATGGCATGAACAACCCATAACTCATAGCATATTGATCACAGATCTATATTACCTTGTAGCAGAGAGGGCTCTTCTTCCTTCTTCTATTAAATGGATGAGATGGCAAGCACTGAGGGACTGGCAGAGGTTTTGGCAGCCAGAGACTTTAATGAGCAATTAGTTTGATACCATTGGACATGGTACCAAATAAGCCAGCAATTTGGCATAGCTGTTGCATATGATGACTTATTTCCCAAGGTCTTGGTCAGKTTGGTTCATTTAGTTGTTCTGGAATAGTTATGGGCTAGTCTATTTTTAACTACTGGGATTGGGGTTTAGATGTGTAAGTAGGGAAAAAATCTTCACACCTGCTTTTGGAAGCTTTGAATTGTGTTTTATGCATTTTCTGTGATTCAAATAAATGATTAACTGTAACATACCTTTGAGGCATATGCTTCATATAGCTGTTGTAATGTCCTTCCCAATGCACTCTCAGTGGTATTCATYAACTGCTCACTCCTCCTCCAGCTTCTGATTGTGGAGTCTAGGTATAGGTACTCTAGCCCAGTCTCTCCAGTTTCCTTGTCTTGCCTTTTGGGCAATTTATAAAAGACAAACCTAAGGAAGGAAATATTTATGAATTATTATGACTTATTGATGRATTTCCTGGTTGCAATCTGTATCAAATACTTGCTTATGTTTCACAGAAAGCCCCTAAGGAAAGGGATTTGCTCAAGATCTCCACCTTTTCTTCCACCTTTTTCTTTGCTCCTCCTCAGGGAAGAAAATATGAATCTGATCAGATATGTTCTAAGACAATAGCTGGCCTAGTGGATGGAGTCCTTGAAATGAAAGTCCCTGCACATTGAGAGAGGCTCTCTCTGATGTTTGCACAGTGCTTATGACTGCAGTAGGGAGAAGACCAAGGTCCAGGCCTGGACTGGAGAAGTCTTGGGTTCTCTTCTGCTACAARTGCTTGGCATTCTCATCGCTTTGCAGCTGGCTGGGTATGAGATTTGGAAGTTGGCTTTCAGAGCAGCTGGAGGTTCCTTTGAGACCCTGGCCCAAGTCTCATTCTTCAGCTCATTTTATCTAAATGTTTTACATGGAGGATTTGKGCCCAAGACTAATTATGTAAGCCCTTCTTTTCCTTTTCTATTGTTTCTTGTTGTATATGTCCTTTGGGTATCCCACAGGGAGGACAGGTGGTAGGGCCCACATAGCACTCAGGCAGTCTTAGAACATCTATCCCAGAGTTTGTTAGTGTTCTATCTAGGTTTTGAGCCAGACCATTCTTTGTTATGGGGGCTGYCCTGTGCATTGTAGGATCCCTGGCTTCTACCTGTTAGGCCCCCCAAATTGTGATAATCAAAATCCATGTTGCTTCCTGCTTCTGCATTACCTCATTGCTCCTTTATTGGCCAGAAATGCCCTTGAACAGCCCTAATTTTTTCTAGCTACTCATGACTGTTCTTAAAACAGCTCAAAAACTACTTCCTCACCAGGCACAGTGGCTTGGGAGCTAAGGCAARAGGATTGCAAGTTCAAAGCCAGTCTCAGCAACTTAGTAGACCCTGTCTCAATAAATAAGTAAATAAGGCTGGAGATGTGACTCTGTGCTTAAGCACTTCTGAGCTCAATCCCTGGTACCAAAACCAAACCAAAACACAACAAAACAAAAAATACCTACTTCTTCAAAGAAGTCCTTTAGGCTCTATGCTACCCAATATCCTACCAATGCCTTTATGTGTGAACTCTTTAAAGGGAGGAAGTATGTTTTGTTTATATTCTATCTTCAAAACTCAGCATGGGGCCTAGTAGGAGCTCGTAATGGAGTTTATCTATGTTCTCTAGCCTGAAGTTATACAAAGTTTGATGTCATCCATAATGGCAAACCTAAACACCTTGACTAAAAAATGAAGAAGTGACCAAAGCTTTAGGAGAATCCAACTATAATGCAATGCTATGTTGTGTCTCTTTTGACACTGTACAAGAAGTCAATGACCTCCCACTCACCCCAACAGTTGCCTAACAAACCAAGGTTAACTGAACAGGGCTGTGTAGAACCAAATCCTCCTTGTCCTCCTAAGGAGAAACACATACTCGAATTTCAGAAAAGGAGTCTTCTGCTTTATCTCCTGTGTCAATTTTCTTTGTCAAAAGAATATTAAAAGGGTTCTGTTAGGAAAAGCCACATGTAATTAAAGAAATTGCCAATTGTCAGAAGTTGTCATCTCAAGCCCACTTCTGCAATGACCAGCTCTCCCTGCTGAGAGCACTGAATTAGTCCAGAGGGGCTGCTCAGCTCTCATTCCAGGATGCTCCAGCTTAAAAGCTGTGTGGGTATTTAGCCCATTAGCACATTTTAAGTGCTTTTCTTTTTAAAGGAAGAGAGTGAGGCGAAAGTTCTCCTTAGGAACATCACAGCCAATCAGTCTGCCTCCTATACTTTGGCTTTCTATTTGCATACACCCATCCTTTCATTTCATTTACCTACCAATCCACAGCTTCACCTTCYTCATTTCTGCATGATATTGTTGATGCCTTCAGGACCCCAAAGAGGCCAAGGGAGAGCAAAGCAAGGGTTGTTCTTAGAAGTCTCGCTGTCATTTTCTTTCTATTCCATGCCACAGCAGGAAACTTTCTCCATAGATGGTGGAGTCTGAGTTTCAAGTCTCTCTCAGGCTGTGCTGACTCTGACATTTGATTCCATTTACCTCTGCTCTTTGCTGCTCAGGCATTTTCAGAATGGGATGAATCCCATGTAATCGTGTGATTCTGTCACAACATCCCAGCGTGACTCTGGATGCTTTTGTGCTGAATTGTTGATGAGTTTGCAAAGTCATCAAAAAGTTCTAGAGAGACAATAAAGGAGATATATATATATATATATATATATATATATATATGTGTGTGTGTGTGTGTGTGTGTGTGTGTGTGTGTGTATACATACATATATTTAAAGTGAACATTGTGTATATAAAGTTCGGTGGGCAGGGAACTTCATTTTGATAAGCAGATGTTTAGTTAACATTCTCATGTTTTTCCCATTCTGAATGAGAACAAATGTATAAGCTTCATACGTTAAATAGAAATGACAAAAAACATTACCTTAATAATAATTAGGATTTGTTGCTTATTATAATCTCTATCTTAAGAAAATAATTGCTAGATATCACTTTAAAAGATTGCTCCAAAGTAAGAGCATATTCAGTTTGCTGAATTTCACCGAGTGTTGACATATCTTCTCCACCTCCCTGGTTTTGGCCACTCAGTGTGGTGCTTTGCTTTAAAGAGGCTTTGCTGTCTAATTGACTACTATGCAATCAGGCAAACATATTGACCGCCTATTCTTCAGATTAAATAAAAAATCTTACAAACACTCGTTTTKTCCAAACTATTCTTTCTCATTCTTGAAACTGCATCTGAACTTGAAGGCCAAGGGAAAATGACCCATTACCATAACGACTCTAAAGAGGTGAGACTCATCTATTTTGGGAAGAAAGAAGGAATGAATAGACATCTGAAAAGAATTTCTTTAAATGCATGGTGCTCTTGAATCAATTATTAAAGATGCTGTCATAGTAAATAGCAGTTAATGTCAGTTCTGGAAGTCACAATGGCTCTAATCTGTCTCTCTGATTATGGATCCAGATCAGAGTCATTTAGAGGATCCAGATCAAACAATTCCCTTGCAAATTAGGCTGTTTTTATGGCCCAATGGGCACTGTTGGGGGTTCTCAGAGTTCTTAGGAAAGAGAGGACTTATGGTTCTACTTCTCCCAAGACAATTTTTTGAGGAACACGCTGGGCTACTGACCCACATTATGTGCAGTATCTGCAAAAAGGGCAGAATTCTGAACCTAATCTTCAATCTGCTGAGTCAGAATCCTTCCAGTTGGGCTGAGAAATAGATATTTTTAATGAGCTTGTTGTTGAGGCTGGTGCACCCGCCTCAACAATGGCCCAGCTGTACCATTTCTGGTAGACTAACAGCCTTCTGCATGGAGCAGACTAAATTGGCTAAACCAAGAAACATTTTTCTTACCATTTCTCCATGGATATTGTCTCATTTTATACAGGTTTCTGCTTTGTGCAGAAAAAAAGGATTTCCAAAGAACAGTAAAAAAAAATATGGCATAAAGATAAATTTTCTGTTAAAGTGGAGTGAAATTGAGTTTATTTGTTTATTTTATCTTGCAAAAATTACAATGGTGAGCACCCAGGTATAGGGTGTTAATTAATATATTCAGAAAATATAAGCAACTTATTTTCAGTATGTGGGCTAAAGACTACGTTGAAGTAGTTGAAAAGCATATACACAATTCCTGCTTTCTTTCCCTCGTTACATGCTTGGCACAGGGCCTGGTAATAGTAAATGATACTTAAATGTTAACTAAGGTTATTATTACAGTCTCACAAAGTAGGATGTGGAAAATCTGTGTTAGGATGCTATTTGCTAAATCCAATTTTATTTAAAGATCTGGAAAGACGCTATTAGATTGGTTTCTTTCAGCTGCCATTTTCAATAAACTGTCATCTCCTGCTTTTTCTGACTCAGACATGCTGGTTGTCAGTAAACAACCTTCCTTTTATAGTTGTGATTGTTGAATGCCATAGACACTGAGGGTCTCCAGGGATTTTTAACAAGGCCTGAAGCCTAGATTCCAGTGTGTCCCCATTTTTACTAAAAATAGCGAAGTAATGGTATGGAGAGAAACTCCTGAATTTGGTGAATGAAGAAAATGCGAACAGGAAAGAATATTTTTCTCAATATTATCTGCTTTTGAAGTCCAAGTAGTATAAAAGTATGAAGACAATGGCTCCTTCACAACTCAGTCACTTCTAAAGTAATATAAAATGCTTTAGCTGGATCTTGGCTCCATATGGCCGAAAAGAAAGGATTCTTCACTTTGTAACAGGTTTCTGATTTCATAGGTGAAGGTTTTCATTTACTCATCCAATATGGAAAATTCCTGTGTCGATCTCTTTAAACAGTGCGTCTTCCACTTTTGCTTCATCACATCTTTCTAGTACATTCCATGTCTCTTCTATCTGCTTTAGCTCCTTGTATGACTGTATTAGTCTTTGATTCCTTATTGGGAGCCATCTTCTTGTTCTCTAATTCTCTATTCAGGAACATTAATCCATTGCTTAACTTATCTCTTCCAAATAATATTTTTTTTTTTTTTTTGCGGGGGGTACTGGGGATTAAACTCAGGGGCACTCAACCACTGAGCCACATCCCCAGCCCTATTTTATATTTTATTTAGAGACAGGGTCTTACTGAGTTGCTTAGCATGTCACTTTTGCAGAGTCTGGCTTTGAACTTGCAATTCTCCTGCCTCAGCCTCCTGAGCCACTGGGATTATAGGTGTGTGCCACCATGCTCGACCCAAATAACGTTTTTTTGAGTTGTATTTAATCTGTTTATTAAGCCATTCTTAATGCATTTCTACAAGTTTTATTGGTTTTTGTCTTTTCTAGATTTACTTGTCTTTTTATGGTCTCTTGTTTCTTGATCATATACTCAATCTTTTATTTCTATCAAAATATTGAATATATTATTTTATATTTTGTATTTAATTCCAATATCTGAAGTGTTTGCAGATCAGATTTTGTTGTTACTTCTGCAACTCTTTCTCACAATACTTTACTATTGTATGTACTTTTGATTTGGGGCTGTAAATTCATGTTCCTTGAAACTTTATCTGTGAAAGTTGTTTTTTTTTTTTTTTTTTAGATTAAGATAAAGTTGGGTTTTTTTCAGTTCCTAGTCTRTGCTGTCTTCATCAAAGTACAAACATCCTGTGAGGACTTCCAGGAGTTAGGAGTCAGGCTGCTGGATTTATTTATTCATTCACTTGTTTGTTTATTTTGGCTTTTGAAGTATGATGAACATATCATAAAATTTATCTGTTTAAGTTCAGTTTTCTTTTGCCAGACTTTCACAAGACTGTTGGTGGACCAAGTGAAATCTAAAATGTAACATACTGAAGGAAAAAGTTGATGTACTTATGTTAGGAGGAAGTGGGGAGGACTTAAATTATTTTGATAAATAGAGATAAGAAAGTGTAAAAAAGAAATAGTCCATGAGAAATGTAATTTAAAGAACACAACTAAAACTAAGAAGAGGGAATGATGACTGAAAAATTGTATTTGGTCCATCACTAGCCTCCTCTTGGTTGCCCTGAGAATGCCCATTCTTCCTGGAAGCCATCTTGATCTCCCCCAATCCGACTTAGGTGTCCTTGCGGTATATCCCCAAAGCTCACTGTACTCTCTCAATTAGAATAACTAACAAAATGTGTTACTAGTTAGTTTTGTGTTTTTTCCCCCTGCATCTTCCTTTAGATAGTAGTGGTCAGAACACTCTTGTGAGCCACAGCTTACTTTTAAGATAAAGTTTCATTGGAACATGGCCACACCCGCTCAGTTATGTGTTATATATAGCTACCTTTAGGTTATAATGACAGAGCTGAATTGTTGAAACAGAGGCCCCACAGTCTGAAAGGGCTAAAATATGAACTACCTGTTCTTCACTGGCTGGTCTAGTGTGTAAGCTCAATGAGGGCAGCCTGGTGTCTGCCTCGCCTGCTCTTGCATCTCCAGACCTACCACAGTGCCTCTTACATGAGGTATTGGATGAGAAAGGTTTCAGAGACTTCTATCTGGAGAGATGTGGAATTTAGAATGAATTAAATGGGATCACAGAAATAAACAAATACAGATATGTAGTAGGCAAAACCCATTATAAATAATTTAATTCTGCTGTTTATAAATCAGGGAGGTAGCTGTGAGGACCAGGCAGCCATGTATGTGATTTCTGACTGCATTGAGCTTCAACTTCCTTTGCTGAARATGGGCCTCCTGTTTTCTACCTTCATGGAGAGCCCACAGGCTCAGTGAAATGCTCCTGCCTGGCATATAACTGGTGGCACTGAATGCTGGTTCCTTCCCACTTTGTTTCTGTCTCTTCCATGACAAAGTAATTTCCTTTTCCTTGCAGATAGATTTAAAACAGTTTTAAATAACCTCAAATAAATCAAATAAATTTCAGTGTTTTTTTTTTCCAGATGAAAGTCAGTTGTTCAACTCAACCAGGAGTTAGGAGTCAGGCTGCTGAATTTATTTATTTATTCACATATGTATAAATTGTGATATTTATACATATGTGATGGGTCCAAAATAACTAACATTTTTGTATCTCTCTCTATTATGGAGGGTAGACATTATCCTTACAGAGACTCTTCTAAGATTTGGGAGAAGATTCTGTTAACAAAGCTTGAAGCTGGACTTTCATCCCAAAGGGCTGAACCCCTCCATTTTCCTCCTGCTGACAGCACAAACACAACTCACATAAACACAGAATCCACCTGAGCTCAGCCTCCCTTGCAATCACACAAACATGACTATTGTGCTAGCAAATGGGATGGTCTGGGCTGGGGCATGTCTTGTGTTGATGAGTTTCTGCCTATGATAGTGTTTATTTTAGTCTATAGCACTCTCTGCTATGCCAGTCTGCCTGTCCCTGTGTCCCTGTGTGACACTGGGCAACTCATTTAACATCTCTGCACTGCTTTATTTTAAAACAGGGATTTTTTTTTTTTAACCAACTCACAGAGTTGTTGTGAGGAATAGATAAAACAATGTAGGTTCCAGTGGGTGGGAGATTAAATGGGAAAAATGGTATATAAATGCAAGTATCTGGTAGAATGATTAATTCTCTCCTTCTGTTGGGATCAGCATATTTTCTTTTTCTCTTTAATGAGTGTGATTCTAGCAGCATTCGTCAAGCGGATCAAAGTGGGTGTAGGGAATGTGTTCCACGGGGAAAGAACGTGTCACTTGGAGGCCCAGGGACTGGGCTCTCATCCAGCCTCTATTACCTAGTATCTTTGTGATCTGGGATGTTACCTAGCCCTAGTGTCTTCCTTTGTCAAGCTTGGATAATAATACTGACTGCACAGGGCTCTCATAAAGGATTAGAGGAAATAATATGTGCACATTTTCTTACATATATCAAACCCTCAATATATGGTTGCTGCTGTTATTTTTAATTTCAGGACTGTACATTTAGAAATAAACATCTTTCAATATAGGCCTTTCAGTAAAATTGTCTTCTACACACATTTCTGGAAGTCTTCATCAATTCCTTGAGTCGGAGTTTCCTGCCCCTCTTCTAGAAGCTTCTGGGGGCCTCTTCAGGGTCCCTGCCCTAAACCTGTTGGTTCAGTGGAGAAGTTGGCAGGAGAATTAGCATCTCTCTTGGCATTTGGTGATGAGTTTCACTTCCTTAGCAATAGTTAGAAGCATTAACACAAACTGAGTACCTAATTGGAGTCTTTTTTTAGGTAATAGGTTACCCTTTCTACCATAATTATGCAGATACATTATTATACTGCTCTTGAAACAGCTACTTGACAAATCCCTTCAGAGTTGCATTTTAAACATAATACACTTTCCTCCCAATAACAA